AATTTGTAAACTGAAAATTAACTACTTTCAACAAGTAGCATGTCAAAACTTTATGAATTAGATTAGAGATTCATGTTATTCTGAGCAGATTAAGAACAAGAGCAGGGTATGAGAAAATAAGAGAAATATAAAATAGAGTTGACTTTTGCTGTTGGAAGGATCCATTCTTAGGTGTGATAACTGAGGAGGTAATTACTTGTAACAACCAATACATGTTTAGTAAAAATGGTGCTTTTGCCTTCTCGAGCATGGTATAGTAGGATACCCAATCTTTTTAGAGGCCCACTGTCTCCTCTCTTCTTCATCAATCTGCCGTCATTGCAGTTGCTCCAAGAGTGTGTCACGTCTTTGTCTTGAACCCACACTTTATTTCCTTTTTGCTCCTATTAGGGATTTTCTTCTTTTTGAGATACTGTATGAGCATGTTGCAAAATTTGGAGTAGAATTCACCTAAAGAAGTCTATGAAGTTCAGTGATCTGTTTGTTGAAGATGTATTCTTCCTAGCTTGCTTAATGCTATCACATATAACATCTTTTGGTGCAATAAAATAGGGCTTAATGTGGAATGCTGAAAAAGAGTTCAGGTTCCAATGTGAGAAAGTTGTGGTCGTGTCCCATCTTTACTATTTGATAAGTGAGTGTTTTTAGGCAAAGTGCATTTATTTTCTAAGACTCTGTTTTCTTATTGGCAAATGAGTTTAATAATAGAACTTATTTCATAGGTTCATGCTCAATAAAACTGAACTTCTTGAAAAGTACATAAATAGAGCATGAGATAGAAGGGACACGCAAGGAGTGTTACTGAACGAATCAACAAACAAAAAGTCAAGTAAGTGAGTTTGAAAGTGTACCCTAAATGGAAAGAAATTTAATACACTCTCCATGCCTTATTTGTAGTGATCCTCTAGAGATGTGGTGAGGGGTTTAAGATGGGTTGATATTCACCTTAGAACCATGTGCTGAGTGTACAGGTTTCTTGGCTCAAGCCACAAAGCAAAGGGCACAGAACAAAAGCCTACTTTAATTCTGATAAGTGAGAGAGCCTAAATAGAATCCATTAGTCATAAGGCATCAGATAAACTTGTGGTGTACTTAACATCAGTCATAATTAATTAAATTGGGTATTAAAGCAAGGATGCACCCTAAGGAGAGTTCCTTTCCTAAGGCTTTTATCAAATTGAGCTCCTAAAACAAACGTACCATTTTGTGAAGCTATTCTCTGCAGATGGCCTTGATAAAACATCTTTTGGAAACATCCCTTCTAGAATTATTGATATTTGGCCTTTTGGCTATATATTATGACTCAGATTAAAAAGCTAAAGGATCTATAATTATTTTCTAGTCAATTACTTTTTGTTAGTTTTGTGTGAACTTGCATTTTTTTAAAAGCACAGTTTGGCATTTAAAAGATGTGTGCAATATGATGTGAGTATTCCTTAAGTAATTAGGCTCAGTGCTTAAGTTTTGTTCTCTGTGAGCTCCTAAACTTGTATAATGTGGTCATTGGAGGTCAAAGCAGATCATAGCAATGATTCTTCCTTTGCTATCCTTTGTTTGTTTATGGTGATCCAACAATGACGTGACTCAGCCTTTGACTTTTATTCCTGAGGGTCAGCAGATAACATAAAAAGATATTAAACACTAGGTTGTAAGTCGACTCTTTATTAATGTCTAGTTGAAATTTGAGGGAAATGTAGTAGTTAAAGCAACTGTTTAAAATGAAAAGTTTGTGAATGATGCATTTTTTAAAACAATCTATTCTTTCCTTTTTTTTTTTTTTCCTTTACCACTGATTATCAGGATTTGGATATAAATAGCTCTCCAGATGCAGAGGCTAAAATTGCCAATCAGCTCCAGCAGAGTCTGTTTTGAGTTCCTGGATGTGTGCCCTCCCATTTTTTTTTTTCTGGTAAGGAAAATATGTCCAGCATGCCTTCTGTTGGGTACTTCAAATATTAACTCTTCTTCATCAGCCCATCCTATTTAACTGTACAAAGTTTTAGGTGCTAGTTGATCTACATAAGAAAATTATATAAGATACTGATATTACCACCAAGAAATTTCTTTAATGCAAATTACATTACAAGGCAGTGTTCCTGAAACAGTGGTATTGCAACTCAAAGGTGGCAAAGTTCCTTACATATTTCTAGGTTCTCCTATGGAGAAAAGAATTGTAGTCAGAACCTTAGCCTTTGTGGATGTCCTGTTGGTTATACCCAAGGGAGAAAGAATTGAATTATATTTCTAGGGCTCCTAAGAGACCATAAACAACTGGCCAAGATCTCAAAAAATGTTTACCCCTGCCTTTAACTTTCATTGTCATTCATCACCTTTAACTAAGTCTTTTGATCACAGCAAAATCTTGGTTTTGATTCCTTACCTCATACTACCAAATTCCAAGAGTTTTAGCATCAGAAGTTCAGAGACCTCAATCTAATATCTTTTACTTTCTTAAAGATTTTTTAATTTATTTTTACTTTTAGAAATATTTATATTTTTTATTTTAAAAATAAAAGATAGCGGGTTTCGGTCTGTCTTCATGCTTGTCTCCTGCCCCCAGGCCGTTTCTACCTTGTTCTTAAATTTTCAGGAATACCAAGCTACCTATAGCTCTTTGCATGTGCCTTTTTGTTCCAGGACCCTTTACCTTTTCTCACATTGTTTCTTTTATATAGATTTTCCATCCTTACCTTCTTCACTTGCATAATTTCTTTTCAAGCTTTAGGTATCAGCTCAGTCCTTTCCTCCCTGGAAGCCTGTCTTGTTTCCTTATAAGACAAGTTGTGGTCCCTACAGTTAGGGCCCAGGCTATGTACACTAGGTACCTGCCAAAGTCAATGTCTCGGCCCTCAGCAGGTACCCTGCTATCTCTGCACATAGTACATTATATCAAAACTATTTGATCATGTGATTGCCTTCTGATTACATTGCTGAAATTTTTCAAGGACAGAGATGTATCTTTTTATTTGCTTCAATTTATATAGTCCTGGACACACCGGTATTCAGTACATTTTTTGGCTGAATTAAAGTGAACTGCTCTACTATGATATGTGATCTCTCTTCTGGACATTACTAGTGTGGTCCTAGCCCATTATATACACACACACATACACACACACATATATATATATGCATATGCATACATACACATTCACACTGTGCAGTATAAATTGTGCTTATAAGTATTTATCCACACACTTGCAATCCACAATCAGGAATAACATACTCAAGTAAGGGTAGGGAAAGGGTAATTGAAAACTTCCACTGTACCTAGGTTTGGACAATCCATTCCCAAGAATATTTCATGAAAACTCAACAAAATGCAGAAATTGCAGAAATTCAAGAGTTTATTGCTAGCTCAGATAAAGATTGGCCACTTAAAGAGAAGTTTTTGGTTCTCTTCATGGATTTTAGCTAGAATTTTGATTTCTTAGTACTTCTTCAGTTCATTTAATTCTTAGGAAAATTCACTACCTGGGTTATCATTTTCGTCAGTGTCTTACGTCAGTTACAAGATTGACGGTTTGTTCTTTCAGACTAGAACAAGTACATTGGATTCCAGGAAACATCTTCCAGGTTTTTCAAGTTTTTCAGTATGGTGTCTCCTTTTATGTCAGTCAATTCTACCTTGCCATAAACACACAGACATTTGGAGGACTTTAGCCCTCTGGTGGTGATGAATGTCAACCTTATCTGTCAGTTGGAGAGTAGATGCTTGTCCACATGCCTAGGGAACCTTTGCTTGGAACCTAAAAAGCGGGTTTTTTTCTCCATATTTTGCTGCCATCTCTCTTTGAGGTTCAAAGTTCTCTAACTGTGCTCTGTCTCTAACTGACTCCTATTGCTGGAAATAGTCAATGCCTACATAACTTGGCCAGCTTATTTTGAATCTAAATGAGAAAAAATTATAAGAATTAAAAATCCCATGGAAGGGGCTGGGGATGTGGCTCAAACGGTAGCGCGCTCTCCTGGCATGCGTGCGGCCCGGGTTCGATCCTCAGCACCACATACCAACAAAGATGTTGTGTCCGTCAACTAAAAAACAAATATTAAAAAAAAAAAATCCCATGGAAGGGAAAAGTAATGCTCATCCTTTTATCAATATTGAGAGTTAATCATCTCCCTTTGCATTATAGGCTGACTGGCTCAGATAAGTTGAAACAAAGAAGGAAGAGACAGTGATAAATGGGAAAAGGTGTCTAGCAAGAAAAAAGGTGGACTAAATCATCTTTGCTTGCTTCCTTGTGTTCTGTCTTAGACCTATTCTTAATCAAAGGAACAACTTTTCTGGATCCAGGCTGATTTTTCTCCATAAAAAGATATATTACTAAAATTTAAAACAAGGACAATGGGATAGGGAGACTTCCTACCCATGATTGACACTGTAAATTATTTCCACCTCCTTTTTTTTTTTTTTTTTATCCTTTAAGAGCCAAAATTTCTCCACAATGGACCATGGAGCCCACCCTGCTTCTGGGCTGGTTTTGTTGGGTCCACACTGAGCCCTACTTTCAGTTCCACCATTTGTAGCATGTGCCATTGTTCACAAGGTAGCCACTAGAGCAATGAATAGCTTCCTGCCCCTAAGGTCACCGAACATCCTCAGGAGTCATAGGGATGGCCTGGTATTCCTCTGCCCCCTCAGAAAGCAGGATGGCAGAGGACGTGATTGTTGTCTATTTTATTTTTAATGCTCCTCTACTCTCCAGACTCACTGGAGACATCCTGACACATAATGCCTTGCCCAGCACAATGTGATGCCCTTTACCTAGTAACAGGGTAAGTCTCATAAAGGTGCTGCCTTCCCCCCAGAACAAACAACGGAAATGCATCAGGAGAGCTCAGCTGCAGACAGAATGCACATCATGAAGCAGGAGCCACCCTGGGATTCCTCAGATGAAAGCCGATTTCAATGAACATTGTGTTTCAAAGCCTGCTTCCTCTTGCTCAGTAAGAGCTGTGGAAGGAACATCCCACTTGCGTCTGCTGACACAAAAGAATGCTGTGGCTAGGAGATCTTATCGAGCCTTCCTGTGCCACAGCAACAGAGCCCTAGTTGTGTCTCCTAAGAATTGCTCATTGTTTCAGGAGGACGACTGGCTCCTTTGGGTGGGATCTGATGGCATCTCATGGAGTTGGAGGTAGGTGGTGCTGGGAGGTCAGCCAGCCACGTGACCCAGCTTGCTGGATTCACGTAAGTCAGAGAGGATAGCAAACATCACCCAGGTTTCTAGATGATGAATAGCTAAACACTAAAAGTTTAAATTTATTTATACTTATTAAAATATGCATATTTTTATTTTTATTTATTAATATATGCATATTATAATAAATACTAATTAATACTGTTTACTTAATGATATCTTCAATTGCAATTAAAAATGGAAGTAATATAAAAGCTTCCTTTGTTGACAAAAGCTCTTTCTTCCCTTCTTTTAACGTACAGCTGTTTGAGTCTGATAAAACTTAAAAGAATAAAGAAGTGATCTAAAAACAGAAATCTAATGATTTATAATCATCTCTGGTTAATTAATTAAAAGTTTTTTTGGGGTACTGAGAATTGGATTGAACCCAGGGGCACTATACTACTGAATTACATCCCCAACAACACCCCACTCCTTTTTTTTGAGACAGGGTCTCACTGTTGCTTAGGCCTTGCCAAGTTGCTGAGGCTGGCTTTGAACTCATGGTCCTCCTGCCTCAGTCTCACAAGTCACCAGGATCACAGACATGTGTTGTGGTGCCCAGCTCTCTGATTTAGAGCCAATATGTGATTTAGAGCCTTTATGATATAAATCTCAAAAAAATATATACTTTGTGCCAGGCATGGTGACACACACCTGTAATCCCAGTGGCTTGGGAGGCTGAGGCAAGAGGATCGAGAGTTCAAAACCAGCCTCAGCAACTGTAGCAATCAATACTTATAAGAAGTATAAAACATATCCAGGAGTAAGGGTGACCAGGAGTTTCCAAAAGAAATATTCTTAATACCTCCTTCCCATCTTTACATGGAACTTTCTGATATGCCCTTTATCATAAAAATACTCATATTCAATTATTTCCACAGAAAACAACAACAACAACAAAAAAAAACAACAACAACAACAACAAAAATTCTCCTCCAATTTTGTACAAGGTTCTGAGGATCAATATATTTACTGAAACACCATCTCTGTTGTGAAAGTACTTCCGAAATAACCACGTTATAATTAGTTATGAATAAGCTTATCTTCCATCAGCAAACTGTGAGCATCTTGAGAAAAGGAGCTAGGTCATATTCGTCTTCCAATTTTCAGGTTTACACATAGTGTCTTATACATTTTGGTATTTAGTCAACATTTACTAGGTGGATTGATGGCTGGCTGGATGGCTGTACTCTGGTACCTTGCATAGTTTCTAATGTAGATTTGTTTCAGACTATGTAATTCTTGGAATAACCACACCTGTTGGTCCTCTGGGCCTTTATTATCTCATTCTTAGATGTGTAGAATACAGAAGTTTCCAAGATCATACAGTCTGATTCCTTCAATTTGCAGTTGAGGAAAAGAGATTCAAAGAGAGAATCTGATTTATCTGTAGTCATATGTGTAATAAGTAAGTGACAGTTCTGGGTTAAAATCTAGATCTCTTGATTGGCAGTAAAATGCCCACTGCATTATGTTCCTTTCCATGACTCACTTTGGGAGGTTTTAAGACCCCCTGTGGAGCAATCTGTCACTTGACTCATCTGAGCAATGTGCAAACAGTGTCCCATCCCTTTCTGAGATAACCTCTGAAGATAGTGCTGTCTAGCTCTATTCCACTGGCCAAGATTTTTGGAGGAGTCCAGTCTTTGGAAGCCCTTTCCCAAGAAACTTATTCCTCTCCACTTAATGGTAAGGCTGATGTAATGACACTATGTAAATCTTTCTGCTACGAGGAAATACTCCCAACATATCACTTCTGACTGCCTGGATTTTTGTTTCTCTAAATTATGCTCAGTCACAATGCATCTAAATGCTTGTGATTGTCCTATAATTAAGCACAATGTCATTCATTAAGAATTTAACCTTTCAGAATAAACTGCTTGAGAATGAACAAATAGCAACACTGAGGAATCTCAAAACAATTATGTTGAGTGAAAGAAGCCTGACAAAAGAGTATATAGTGTATGATTCTACTTACATAAAACTAAGGAATATGCAAACTGATCTAAAGCAAGAGAACACACATTGGTGGCTGTCAGATGAGGCAAAAAAGGAGAATAGGGAGGGAGGGTTAGAAAAGTGAACAAGAAAACTTTTGAGGGTGATGAATATGCTCACTGTCTTGATTATGATGTTGGTTTCGTAAGTATCTGCATATGTCTAAACTCATCAAATTGTACAACTTAAATATGTGCAGTTTATTGAATGTCAATTATACCTCAGCAGACTTTTATTTTTAAAGATTGTAATCTTCTAAAATTTAAACAAATTACCAAATGAACCAGTGTTCAATAAGAGAAGCAGAAATGTAACTGTGTGTGTGTATTTGCAGGGATTTGACCTTACATAATTGTAGTGTGTGATGAAATCATCTGTAAAGCTGTTGTCTTCACATTGATGCTGGAGCTTGAAATTTAAGGATAGGATGTAAGGAAAGGTGGGTGAGAGCCAGTACATACCAGAATCCTGGACACAGCTAGAGCTCATGAACACAGGCCAAATATTATCTCAGTTCTTAAAGCCTCTGACTTTGATTGCAGGGTCCTTATCAGAGCCTAGCACACACACCTGGCCCAGGAGTTAGAAAAGCTTAAGGAGTATCTATCCAGGAGAAGGTGGAACAACGGCAGGTCCGGTGGCAGGAGGTAAGTGAGCTGAGAGGACATAACATGCATGAGATATCTAATGGCTGCCACCTCACTTCTGCCTCTGAGTCTTGTCCAAGAATCTCACTGGTGACCCCCTCTATCTAGAAACATATGGGAAAGGGAATTCTGGGGACCAGAGTTCAGCCTGGTCAGGTTCGCTCATTACAAATCCACCACCCCTTGACAACATGGCACTCTGACGTCTCTTTAAATCATACTTGATTTCCAAAGAAAGATGAAAACAGAGTCGTGGCTGGTTTTGTAGCTTAGTGGTAGAGTGCTTGCCTAGCCTACATGAAGCACTGGGTTTGATTCTCAGCACCACATGTAAATAACTAAAAATAAAAGTCATGTTAACATCATAAAAGCTATCTATGCTAAACCTTGGCCAACATCATTATAAATGAAGAAAACTTGAAGGCATTCCCTCTAAAAACTGGAACAAGACAGGGATGCCCTATTTCACCACTTCTATTTAACATAGTTCTTGAAACACTGGCCAGAGTAATTAGACAGACGAAAGAAATTAAAGGAATACACATAGGAAAAAAAGAACTCAAATTAGCACTATTTGCTGATATGATATGATTCTATACCTAGAAGACCCTAAAAGTCTACCAGAAAACTTCTAGAACTAGTAAATGAACTCAGCAAAGTATCAGGATATAAAATCAACACCCATAAATCAAAGGCATTTCTGTATATCAGTGACAAATCCTCAGAAAGGGAAACGAGGAAAACTAAAAAATATTTTTAAAAAACCCAGAATCATGCCTCTACCTACTGTGATACAATTATACCCACTTGAACTTTTCTTTAATAGAGGATCCAGTTTTTTTTAAATTTGGATGATGTTCATTCATGTAGTTAATTTGCACTTCTCCTCTGATGTCTTATAAATTGTACATTGATGTGTCAAGTTACTACTGTCAACAAATCTTACATTAGATGATAAGAGAATGAGGAGAAAGACAAATACAAAGATAATTGGTTAAGTTAATATGTATATTTGTATATATATATACTTATATTCATATTTATACAGAGCCATAGCAAAATGAGGAATAGATATTCATAACTCAAACAGTATTTTTATCTACAACTGGTCATGTGGCCCTAGTGGTCATTTCTTCCTTTTGTTCAGCTGATTATGGATCCTTGTCTGGTACAATGAACCAAATCTTCATTCTCAAAGGCACTGGGTCTTGGGCAATCTTTTAACTGAGTTAATGTGGTTTTCTACTGACTTTAATCCCAGGATGTGGGAGTGCTAAGTGGCCACCTAGAAGATCTTTAATTTTCAGGACGTACTCCTCCTTACTCCCTTTGTGTTGAAGCAGCCTAGTTACAATCACTCCCTTTCTTGCCTGACAATTCAATGACATGAGTCAAAGTGTCAGGTGGCACTCCAGTTCAATCAGATAATTATCTGTACACCAATGGAAGCATTCCTCTTTTTGGAACTAATACCTCTTGACCTTGAAAGCCTGATGTCACATGGATGGAAAGCAGTAGTTTTGTTAGAGAATCACTAGGGAAAATAGAGGATTCTCTCCCATTTCCATCCCTTGAGTCCCTCACCCATGGATACCAGTAAGGGAGAAATAGAGATTTATATGTTAGATGCTGATTTAGAGCACTTTTTGTATTGTCAAAGACTATAAGTGAGCCTTCAAAAGAATGTTTTACTATTCTGTCAAGCCAGCTGTTTCTGGGTGATGAGTGGCACAGTAAGATCAGTAGACTATGCAAGGCCATTTCCACATCTTATTTGCTGTGAAATAAGTTCTTTGGTCAGAGTGATGCTGTGTGAAATACTATGATAGTGAATAAGTCATTCTGCACATGGTTTTGGTGGTGGGTTTTGCAGAAGCATTGTCAGCAAGGAAGTTACATGTATATCCATAGTAAGTGTCTAGTCTAGTTAAGAACCAAACTTTGCCCTTTCCATGAGGGAAGTGATCCAGTGTAATCAACCTGCCCATCAGTGGCTAGCTAATAGCTGAAAAGGGTGCCAAGTCAGGGGCTCCTTATTGACCTCTGCTGTTAGCAAATCAGGCACACAACAGTGACTATAGCTAGACAGGCCTTGGTAGGTAGAAGTCCATGTTGCTGAACCAAAGCTAAAGTTCTCTCTGCCACAATGTTCTCTGCCATTGCTACATTTTTAATGATCTGGTTTGATAATGACAGGATTTGCTGGGGAAGGAAGAGGACGGAGGAGCACAGAATGGCTCATCCTATCTGCTTGCTAGTGAAAATCCTCCGTTGTTGAGTTCATTCTTTGTGAGCATGCACATGGAACACGAATATCCTAACACACCTTGCCATTTGGAGGAGCCTATCAGCCTACCTCTCCAGCAGATTTCTTCATCACCAAGTTTTTAATCATGTTCTTTCCAAATCTCTGACCCATGAATTATTATTATTATTGAAGATTTTCCCTTCAAGACATCTCTTCTTTCAAGTAAAAGGAACAACATGTGTACTGCTTGTCATTCTGTACACTGGAAAGATTTCCCTTCGCTGCTGACCTACAGGGCCATCCCAGAGTGAGGCTGTTGTGTTTCAATTGTCCATTTGGTTTTAGCTGTCCACTTTTGAGTGGTGTCTTCCTAATATGCAGAGTCATCTGGAAGCTAGGTCTGAAATTTCAGTTTTCCTCTGTTGATTGGTCCTAAGAAGTTCTCAAAGAGGGCATAGGTGTAGTTTGAAAGAAAGGAGCAATATAACAGAAGTAAGGTGGTGGATACATAGGCCACGTGCTTGTGCAATACATTAGTTCCTCTAGACCTCCCTAAGCCCAGATCATACATCCCACTTCCATTTGTTAATGGAGCACTGCCATGGATGCTCAGCTTTGTGGCCTGGTAGGTCAGACAACACTAATAAAGGGTAGCTCAGGACACAGAGTAACTGAATGACCCATGTCCAAGCATTCGTCTCTTGAAGAATGCTCTAAACTGCATTCGTATCTATCACTAACATTCTACACACTATTGGATCTTCTGGATCATATGGTCCAAGTGGCAGAGCTGCTTTTATAACAATCTAGATTTAGAAACCTTGGACCCCACTCATAGTTGACAGCTTTTTGATTTAGAAGTGGTCAAAAATGGAACCCAGCCTGCCTCAGACTAGACCCCTAGATATTTGTGGGATTTATTTTCTACCCTCTGCCATTCAGATGTCTTACATCTGTGTCCAGAGCAGTTGCTATTTTCTACTTACCAGAGAAGGAATCAGGAAGCCAAAGGAGGATCCAGAGTGAGATGCAGCGGCTGTAAGCTTGGCCACTGCCTCACACCAGAGAAGTGAGCCAGGAGCAGGGCCATGGCATGAGGGAGCTAAAACGTGGCTACTGCTTCCTTTCCACCCTCCTAGCTCAAACAAGAACCTCTCTGTAGCTCACTTTACCCAGAAGCATACAGGAACAGGAATTCTGGGAAATGTAGTTCAGCCTAGCCAAGCTGACACATACACACCACAAACACAGTTGATGGCAGGTTATTATAGAGATGAGAATTCTGTTTTAAAAATAAGAGAAGCAGCTGGCATCTCCTGGCATGATCTTCCTTCCTGAAAATTCCATCTGACACATTTCTTTTCTCTTACCTACAAGGCACCAATTGCATAGAATATATGTATATGTGTTCTGGCCCTGGGGAGATTATCAAAACAGAGTTGTTTCAGGCAACATATTATTTTTTTTTAATAAATAAATGCTTAACAGTGTGAAAATGTATTCACAGTTTGAGTGTATTATTTATCAATTGCTTTTCCAGAGAGACGAAAATGTGTTTAGGTTCGAGGTTTCTTTCTTTTTTCCCTTTTTTGTTTAATGTTCAGTCTTCAAAGAATTTGCTTTTGCTTTTAAGTTTAAACATGTGCTGCCGGCAAAAGGCAGTGTGATAGGCTCCTGCATCGTAATGAAAAGAGAGTCTCAAAATTTACCCTCTAGGCTGCCAGTAATGCTATTCATTACAGGAACTGACCATTACAGTTTCAGAATTGACTGTCCTGGAAAGGTGAAGCATCTCAACTTGGGGACCTGTCCATGTGCTAATACTAGTCCTTTTTTTGTTGTTGTTGTTCCTCGTCTGTCATCTCAGAGAGGGCTGATATCAACCTGTTCTCAATCCATGAATCTTTGTAGAGTTTCTCTTAGAAAACAAGTAAGATCGTGGCTCACAAAACAAGCTTTGCCATGACGAGAAAGACAGAATTCACAGTAGAGAGCAGGAACACTAAATACAGATGAGACGAAGGAGAGGGTGGTTCTCAAAGCAACCGTATCTCAAACCAATTTTGTGATTTCCTGATGAAGATATTTGTCCACCCATCAGTGCTGGTGTTTCTAAAAATTCCCGTCACAGAACAACAACTGTCAACACCTGCCTCAGACATAGGAGTTAGAAGAGAGAACAAATGGGAAGGAGACAAGTGCGGAAATGATTTTGCCACTTTAGTGACAAAATCACTCCTATCAGTTAATTTGCTGAATTCAAGAATTAACAAAAATATATATAGTGCCTTTGATATAGTATTGACTGAATAATTGCTTAACAAACATGGGTTGACGGACTAAGGAAGTGAGAGTCACCCTGACTTGTCATGTCTGGCAAGTAATTGGTCCTACACCAAACAAGTTCTGATTTTTCCCCATCATTTTGATCTTTGAAGTTTTAAATCTCAAATAGTTGATCCTTAGGATTAGTGCATGTGGGATCACAAGGGACAAAGATCCTGAATGAGTGAACAAAGGAGGGAGGAAAAAAAAAACAGAATGGAAAAATTTATGGAAATTTTCCACCCATGAGTAAGACACACCCTCACGCAAACAAAGCGTTTGAGCTAACAGTATATTTCATGAAAATGTGATAAAATACTTGCTAAGCCCTGAGAGGGCACAAACAATAGTTCTTCTTCTTCTTCTTTTTTTTCTCCTCCAAAATTCAGTCCCACAGGCTGAGCAGTTAAAGGGAAAGAAAGGCCTTTGTTCTCTCTTTTTCAAAACTTCTATTTCCTTTCTAGAATCCAAAATTTTGAGCTGCCATCAAAAGTGGAAGAGCATGTGTTGGCAGCTTTGGCTCTGTGGCTGCCCTTGTCCTGACCACATCTGCCTGTCACTGCTAGAGATGGTTCTAAAAGGACACTGGGCTGAATGGTTCCCAGAAGTCATCGGGCAGGTGATCTCTGCCACGGCTGTGTCTCCATCTCTGCAGTTTGCTCCGTGTCCCTCAGAAGCAGACAGAGAGACACAAATGCAGAAGCCCCATTGCCAGCTGTTTTTCTTGTCCCCAGCTCCTGTAATAGGGAACAAAATGGCCAAGGTCCCTTTAAAACACATTTCAGTCATGAGCTCCCTGCTTCCTTTCCCAGTGCCTATCGGGAACACTTTGTCCCAAAAAGAAAAGAAACAAACAGAAAGAAGAAAGAGAAAGCAAGCAAAGGAGGAAAGAAAGAAGGAGGAGGAAGGCAGGCAGAAAAAAAGAAAAGGAGAAAAAGAAAAGAAGGAAACATCTAGTCTCAGGCTCATGATATTAAAAGAAAATTCCTAGTTCTGTTATTTAATATTAAGGATTCAAAAAATACCATAGGTGGCCTTAAAATCAGGCGGTGAGTAATAGGACCAGCAACTTATTTCCTTTAATATGATGGGACCCATCTCTTCTATTTTTCCTTGTGTTTGGCTTTTCAACTGCCAGGCCAAAGAATGGCATGCAGATTACTTGTGGTCATATGCTATATGGGACTTGGGTGCTTCACAACGTTCACACAGAAATGATCTCATCAGATCCTCAGATAACCCCATGATGTGGATAGGGCTGATGGATGCTTTATCAACATTTCCCATTTGAGGAAATGAGCAAATAAGTTATATAATGTGGCCAAGGTCACTCTGAGCTTCTATGGTAGAACCAGATTCCAGCAGAAGCATAGGACTTCTAGACAAGGTGTTGTTTATTAATTTTTTTTATCTCTTTCATCACCCAAGCCACCTTTGTGAGGGAAAGTTATGTGCATCTTCATAATTCAATACTTTCAGGTTCAATGTAGACAAAATCATAGCCACCATTTGGTGATCTCAGTACCTGTGCTTGTCGTGTAACAAGTTTCTCCTCTTTCTATGTGTTGTTGTTTTTTTTGTTGTTGTTGTTGTTTCTACTCCTTTTTTTCTTCCCTACCCAGAATTTTTTATTTACCATTTGTAACAGTATTAATATTCTCTTTTCTCCTTTCCTCTTCCTTCTTTGTCTTCTCTCCTCCCTTTCTCTCTCTTCCTTTTTCTCTTCCTTTTTTTTTTTCATTTCTTTGGCTGTGTTTTTGATTGCATACTGTAAGTAACACATGAATGTAAGAGAACAAATTTTGGTATTTTACAGTTTTACATAATCTCTATGTGTCTCTGTTGTCTTATCGGTAATTTTTTTCCCCCTAAAATAATGATTTTTCTACAGGAGTCAAGACTAGAGAAGACTTTTTTTTTTTTTAAGACAGGGTCTCCCTAAGTTGTTCAGGCTGTCCTCAGACTTGCCATCCTCCTGCCTCAGCCTCCTGAATCCCTGGGATTACAGCTGTGTACTACCACATCCTGATCCTGATGGTATTTTAAAAAAACAAGTCAAATCTAACAATGGACAAAACAACGAAGCGAAAGAGATGGGATGGCCATTTTGGCACTCACTCTATTATTTCTCTGATTGTTCTTGGGAAGCTGAGTGTCAAGAATTGATGCGGTGTTGAAGTATTGACTAGGCACAGCTGCACTGAGATGCTCTGAATTAGATCTTTCCCAGGACAATGGCTTCTTAGCTAAAGAGCCATGGCTCTGTAGACACGTGTGTTCTGAACAAAGCTGAATAATTAGTAATCATCGCCAATCATTCTACTTATGTACTTTTACCACCAACAAAATTATATCAACCAATATTTTTAGTAAACTTTAATTGTAGATTTAATTTGATATTTATCGATTAAAAGAAGCTGTTTGTTGAACCGATGACACAAATCTAAAATGGTGCTTCTGAAGATAGAAATAAAGCTCCCCACCAGTAATAAACAGGCTTTTCAAAAAGATTATCTGCCTCTTGGCAGAAAAGGAAAAAAAAAGGGGGGGGGGAAGGTTTCTAGGCTTCTCCCACCTTTAATGTGAAGATGAATATTCATGGGGGATGGCTGTAGACTACCTATTGGAAAATGCATATCTAGTAACAGATGTATAATTTATGGAACTGATTGCTTTAAGCAGAGAAGCTTTAAAATGGATTTTTGCAACTCAGGTTGTTCTCAAGGGGAGGCAAACATATGGTAATTATTCAGAACTGAAACCTGCCTGTGAAGTATATGACAAAAAAGTAAAAGGAACTCAGAGAAATGTCAATGAAGCAAAATGTTCCCCCACTCACAGAAATATTTTCTTGTGTCCTTCCGTAGGAAGGGTGATCAATGTTCTTCGGAGCTATATGAGGTCATGAGACTTGAATGGCAGGTTTCTCTTGGGGCTGTGCACCAATGTTCTGTGGTGCTGTAACAGGGACTCCAAGCTTTCTCATGGATGAATGGATCTATCAAGAGGAGCTGAGAAATGTTCCCTAGCCAGGCTCAAGACATGAGAGGGACATGGTTTTATTTTATTTATGATTTTGGTGCATTTGGGTAAAAATCATCTGGATTGTTTTCATTTATGAAATTAACCCTTCAATAAACTCAAGAACAAAAACCCAACAATGAAGATGAATAACATAAAATTATCAGTCAGAATTACTGTATGTTTAGAACTGGGATTATAAAAGTTTGTGCTGTCAGCAGCCTGAGATGTGCAATGAAATTCTCCCAGGAAGGTCCCTGCCTAAATGCCCTACAATGGAATCTGAGACCTATTAGTACCCAAGTGCACTAAGTGTTCTTAGCCAGCAGGACGAGGGACAAGGAACAAGGGCAGTCTCCAAAGTTGTTAGAACCCTTCAATCACATGCAGAAACTACTGATTTGAAAACAACAACAAAATACACAAAAACATACAGATCAATGTCATAGCAAGTCAAATTGAACACAATATGAAAAGCCAAACCTGTAAGAACAAGGAGTTTCAAAGAGACATACTGAAATTTTGAAAGTTCTACTAAAACCAGCACATCCTTAACTAGTTTCTTATTTTTTCATTTCTTGTCTCTGTTTCAGTTCTAATTTTAATGCTTTCTTTAGAAGAGATCATTTTTCTTCAATTTTAAAAGAAAGAGGAATGGCTTTTAAACATAGAATGGATGACATAGAGTAGAATACTACTGTTATGATTTAGATATGAGTTGTCCCCCAAAAGCTCATGTGTGAGACAATGCAAGAAAGTTCAGGGGTGAAATAATCGGGTTAGTAGAGCCTTAAACCTAATCAGTGTGCTAATCCACTTGAATGATTAAATGGGTGATAACTGTAGGCAGGTAGGGTGTGAAATGGAGGAGGTAGGCCACTGGGGGTGTGCCTTTGGGGTTTATATTTTCACTGATGATGGTGCTCTGCCTTACTTTATGCTCAAAGCAACATTTATGAATTAAGACTTTTGAAACTGTGAGCCCCAAATAAACTTTTCCTCCTCTACATTATTCTTGTTAGGTCTTTTGGTCATAGCAGTGAAAAGCTGACTAAAGCAACTATGTAAATGAATTAGCTACTAGCTACAAGCAGCAACTTGGACTTATCTCAAAAACATAATGTGGAGCATATTCACAGAAGAAGATACATAAT